CACCCCAGGGTGTACCTAGGAGATAGGGCATTAGCAACTCTGGCTCTTTCTTACCTCAGCTCATGCAGAAGAATGCAGTTGATCAGTAATAAAAAGGTGCATTTTAGTTCTCTAACTCCTGATTCTTATAGGTCTACTACTTCAGCACCTGGCCAGAAAGAGAGGTACTAATTACTGGGCATCTTCAAGTCATCTAACAACATTTTCTAGAATATTCTAATATAATGAATGTTTGAAAGACATCAGAAAACAATCATGTCCTATAATTTCATAAATAGCTAAGACAATAATTTCTTTCTTTTAAAGACATTTTATTCAGCTCTGGCTGGTTTTCTCAGTGGTTAGAGCATCTGCCTGAGAACTGAAGGGTCGCTGTTTTGATTCCTGGTCCAGGCACACATGGTCAAGGCACACATGGTCAAGGCACACATCCAGGAGGCAACCAATGGATGTGCCTCTCTCACATCTCTGTTTCTTCTCTCGCTCTCTCTTCCTCCCTCCCTCCTTCCTTGCTACTCTATCTAAAAGTCAAAGTCAATGGGGGAAAAAATCCTCGGGTGAGAATTAAAAATTATAAAATAAATAAATAAGTAAAGACATTTATTTCATTTTCAAGCATTTGTTTACTGCATGGCAATAGGACCAAGCTCTGCACTAGGCAATATAAGAGCAATTTTTTTTTTATTTTTATTTTTTTTTTATAGAGAGGAAGAGAGAGGGAAAGAGAGTTAGAAACATCTATGAGAGAGAATCATCGATCAGCTGTACCTTGAATGCAGGCACATCCCCAGTAGGCACATGCCCTTGACCGGAATCGAACCTGGGACCTTTCAGTCCGCAGGCTGATGCTCTATCTAATGAGCCAAACCGGTTTCGGCACAAGAGCAAATATTGATGAGAACATGATTCCTGCTCTTAAGGAGCTTGTGATCATAGCACAGGAAACACATACACAGAGACCAAGCTTCCCAGTGTTCCTCTTGCTAAGACAGGGATGCTCGGAGCGTTCAGGAAGGAGGAAGTCCATTCTCCCGGGAGGCAAGGAATGAGACACACACTGAGTGTAAAGAGGCCCCAGGAAACTGTTCTGGGAACCAGGGGACCCCACTGGCCTGTGAAACGCATGAGGGGAAACACCCACACCCACGCCTCCTGGTATTTCTCCCTCGGCTTCCCACACTTCCCTCCTTCCTCTCCGCACCAACCCTCCTCCTTGCCTCTTCCCAAGCTCCCATTCCATTGAATCATTCTCGCTTGTTACTCCAAAGATTTTTTTTTTTTTAGCTCAGTCAATTTCCTTGCTTTTAAAAACTATATTCAGAGGTAGGTAGAAGGAGGAAATTAGGTAATGGCATATATCTACTAACATATAGTCAGAACTTTCCAGAGTCAGTCTATCATCTTTATGTATAAGAAAAATCAAACAGCTTTCACCATGCAAAGAGATGGCATTACTCGTAAATACATTATGATGACACGCACTTGTAGGAATTCTCAGCTATTCCACCCGGAAATTCTATTTTGTTTCATTTTGCGAATTATATGAGACAGTGAGGAAAACAGGGCAGCCACAGAGGCCTTTCACCATTCCCTCTTCTTAATGTCCCATCTCCCAATCACACACCACACTCTTGCAACTTATTTGTTCAGGAGAAATCCAAGTCTTTCCATTCCTCCCCTATCCAACTGTGATGGAAAAAAGCGTTCCTTGTTCTCCTCCCTGTGCTGATTTTACAGCTTCCCTTCCCCACGGCCAGGTTTCACTGCCAGAGGCCGGCACCTCCCGAAGCAGAGGGCAGGGAAGCAACCCAGCCCGGGCAGCGTCCAGGCTGCAGGCCCCGCGATTGTCCTTGCCCAGCACCTGTCCCGGGCAGGCAGGCAGGCACAGGCCCTGACGTCACCATGCCCAAAGCAGAGGCTGTGCCAGTCTTAAAAGGTTAGGAACTCCTGATCTGAAACGTGTATTAGATATCACACGGAACGCCCAGAAATAACCTCCCCGTCACACAGGTCAGTGACATGACCCCATGGTGGGGGAGGGGACTCCCATCCCTCACACACACACACACACACACACACACACACACTCAGAAAAAGGGACTGCAAGGATGTCACCAAATAAATACTCATCCTGGTTACCTTTGCTGAGTGTGACTGTAGTCTTGGGGGTTTTTCACTTCTCTAGTTTCCCCTATTTTCTTATAACTACATTATAATTTTTTATAATCATAACACTTTTTAGACAATTCAATGTGATACTTTGTTGGAACATACATACACACACACACACACACACACACACACACTTTTTTACAACTGGGTTTCCCATGTTGCCTTATAATTCCTTTTTAAAAAATATTTATTGTTGAAAGTATAACATATGTCCCTTCATCCCCCGTTGACCCTCTCCAACCCACCCCTGCCCCCTGCCCCAGGCACTCACCATCCACTGTCCTAATTCAATTTTTAACAATAAATGTTATTTTAAAATTATTCTAATAGCAATAGCATAAGTTCTTTGACCTCTTCGAGACAAGGATATGGCTGTAGTGACCCTACACGCTGGATTCTGAGACAGGGCCAACCTCAAGTATTCTGTGTTGGACAACAAATCACTGAAACATTCCCCAAATCCCAACGGCTTGGATTCCAAACGGCACTGAAGAAAACGTGAAAAACTAGAATCTCTCATGAGCCTAATGCAACTGTAATTACATATTATACCCCACCATGTATTTCAAAGATACGGTCATAGAGTATAATCAGTCTAGCTTGTACCTTCTATTGATCCCTGGTCAGAGATTTCTATGTTGACATCATAATAACTTGGAAGAAGTACATAATAGTCTGTTATGTTGATACACAAATTTATCACATCCTGGTTTTCATTATTGAGCTCCTAGGCTGTTTCTAACTAGTGTTTTCCATTATAAAATGCTGCCCCCCCTCAAACTCACATTTACTTTGCATTTATCTTTCCCACAATAGGAATTACTAAATCAAAAGAAACAAACACCATGATGACACTTAACTACATATGGGCAAGAACGGAAAGCATACTGAGCTGGGACTGCCCAGGCAGGCTCTGCTCTCAACCTCTGCCAAGTAACTTAAACTCTAAGTATGTTGGACAATTTCTAAAATAAGAATGATACCACCTGCCCTGGCAGTAAATCTGTTGAAGGTCAAACTGATTGATGTGGAGAAAAGGTGAAGTGACGCAAATCTCAGATGCTGCGAGGGGCAGAAGTATTATTTGGGGATGGCACCTCAAATGCCATTGACTCATCTATCTATTAAAAACCCGGGGGGGCCTCAATGTACTGAACACTACGTTGCTGCCTCTGAGATGATAGAAAGGGAAAGGAAAACGCCCTGTCCCACAGAGCCTCGAGGAAGAGCAGGGGAGGGGACAACAGGAGACAAGTAACTCTCAGGCAGGGGTTGGATCTAAGCGCATGGGACCACAGCACAGGCTTGCAGGGAACCTGGAGCAGTTTCAGAGGAGGTGGTGTTGGAACTAGGCCTTGAAAGATGGAATGAGAAGGATGATTAGAGTCAAGTGGGGTCAGAGCTTATGGAGGTGAGATGGTTTGTAAAACAGGGAAGCCACGTTCAGGCAACGAGAGGTCTAGGACTGTTCTGCAGCTCCAGCCGCTGACCATGCTGGTGCCTGACCAGCACCGAGCGCAGCTTCCTCACGTCTGAGTGACAGTGAAGGAAAGTGCACCCCTCGTGGGGAATCATCTGTAGCACAACATTGTGCAAAGGCACGCAGCGGTCCTCTGACTGTTTTCTATTTCATTCCTCATGTCGGGATTGGGTTGGGTTTGCAGCAGCAAAATATCTGATGTCATATGTGGTCATTCTGACAACTCATATTTCTCTCAAGTTTTGAAAAGGAGCTTATAGCCACCTTAAGCATACAAACATTGAATGGTGACAGATGGATATACTAGACATATGAGGATAACACTGTAGGTATAGAAACACTGAGTCGCCATGTTGTTCACCTGAAACTAGAAGAGAATGCTATACAGGTAAGGTTCCTAACATGTTGACTCAAGAGTTTTCTCAATTTCAAAAGTTATTCAGAGATGATATGATTAGTGAGCTCCCTGATAACCATGGAAATACGGATGAATCAAAGGGGAAGAAATGGCCGAACCTACATGCTAGTAATGAAATGCGTATTAAAAGAATGTGAAGGGCCCTGACCGGCTTGGCTCAGTGGATAGAGCATTGGCCTGCAGACTGGAGGGTCCCAGGTTCGATTCTGGTCAAGGGCATGTACCTTGGTTGCGGGCACATCCCCAGTAGGGGGTGTGCAGGAGGCAGCTGGTCGATGTTTCTCTCTCATCGATGTTTCTAACTCTCTATCCCTCTCCCTTCCTCTCTGTAAAAAAATAATAAAAAAATTCTTTAAAAAAAAGAATGTGAAGGTACCATTCTATACCATCTAAAACATCAAAAACATTTCAGTGCATGAAGCCACACACAGACAGGACTGGAAGCAGGGGGTGGGAAGGTGGTAAGACACTCCTGGAGTAAGGTCTCTATGGAGGTTCTGTCTTCCTAAAAAGCAACCTGGCAAGATTTAACAAGCTCTATAAAAAGGTTCATAGTCTTTAACTACAGAATCCCTCTTTATGAAATATACCCCACGGAAACAGGTCACGTAAAGGGAACTAAGAAACATAAAATATGTACATGGCCTAATGGTAACAATAATGAAAAACTGGAAACGTTTCTGATTACCAACAAGCAAACCATGAAATGTTGGCACCATGGACTATACAGCCATTACAATGAAATACTTCTTGTTATATACATACATGGTTTCTACACATATCAGGATTTTTTTCAAAAGTAGAAAAAAAAAGTAAAATCATCATTCTAGGTAAAAAGGCTGTATGTACTCTGTAAAAGATACACAAATTTAGAGGGCTTCAAAGTTTAGCGCTGGCTAGCATTCAAAATAAATCGACTGTTAAAATCACCTGTGTTTGTGAAAGCTGAATGCTCTGGACCTGCGGGAGCAGAAAATACGCATTTGTGAGCTGCTGTGCAGACCCTTCTGTAGAGATTCTGCGAGTACCAATTCCAGATACCTGCAGGAGACAGGGGGGGAGAGGGAGATATCCCTCAATTAGTTTGAAAAACATTTGCCATCATGCTAAAATACGTTTTTAAAGGAAATCTGTATTCAGCACCTTGGCCTTCAAGATTCTATTTACCCAATTATTATATTTATCTTCCACAACCAAAAAAAAAAAAAAAAAAAAAAAAAAAGGTAACAAAAGTTGCTGTATTTCAGCAGAATATTACTCATTAGAACACACTAGAAGCTCAATACACGAAAATCCATGCAAGAATAGGCCTTCCTTCCCCTGGCTGCCGGCATGCACTTCCCTCCGGCACCTGGGACCCAGGACCCAGGCTGGCTTCCCTCCGGCCCCGGCTTCATCAGGAAGGACGTCCAGAATGATGTCCAGAAGACGTCCGTCTAATTAGCATGCTACCCTTTTATTATTATAGATCTTTTCACAACTAGTCAACTTTTCTGATATGGGTAATACGTGCTTCATGGAAAACAGTAAGAATTAACCACACACACATACACACACACACACACACACACACACACGCACACACAAAAAATGGTTAGCTAGATCTTGGCACTTAAATCACTTCTCGTAATGTCCTCTTTTAACGATGTCACAGGTATAGCCTAAGATCAACTACTTTGGGGAACAACAACAAAAAGATACCCCGCTCTCCCTTCCCAGCGTATTAGATGCACAGGGAATACCTAGAAATAATAGCACCTGGCCCCCACGTGCACAATCCATGTTCCCTGATGAGAAATGTTGCTGAGCCTAGGAGGGGAGGAGGCCAAGGGGCTAGAAATTCCCCCTACAGGTGCCTCCCTCTGCACTGTCTGTGGGGCGCAGGCTGTGGGCTTGGAAAGCCTGCTATATTCTGAACTAGAAAACTGTGTAGCAGATTTCACGATTTTGTCCCAGGGCTCTTCAGAGATGCACAGTGAGAGGGACAGCTCTGCGCAGCCCCTGTGCGCCACTCGAGGCAGGAGGTGGGAAAGCTGAGAGTTAAGCATCGTTAACAGCTTTACCCCATTACTGCTATAAGCCAGGCGGCAGCACGTCCAAACGTCTTTTTTAAACTATCCAAACCCTTTAAGCCAACAACCAAGCCACGTGACAGAAGGAAAAAGTTACTTACGTGATAGGAAAGGACTCCGTGTGAGGAGGTATTAATAAATAAAGAACTCTCAATGTTCCCTTCTTCAGTAGGTAAGAAAATAATTCTGAAGGAGGTTCTCCCCATTGCTGGAATGACCTGAGAAAGAGGCATCCAATTAGCCATTTGGAATGGCCCTCCCTGAAAAATTATCTCGCACAGACTTTCTTTTGGGCGGTTTCTGTGAACGGAGGTTAGCCTCTTCTGCGCCCTGGATTTATAAGTAGCAGGGATCCCCGAGAATCCCCTCACACAGATCAATAACCACAACCTAAGAGAACATTTCAAAGAACCCAGTGGACTCATGGCAAGACAGTTACCCAGTCCCTTCACTTGGGATTGGACTCACACGCCTCACATCTTTCCTTTTCCCTCCTCCTCCACACTCACGTGTTCATGCCTTTACCTAACACAGCTCTAACTTTACTTAACAAGCACATTTGATACTAAGTAAAAGTCAGGGAGCCCGGCTGGTATGGCTCAGCGGTTGAGGGTCGACCCAGGAACCAAGAGATTACCAGTTCAATTTCTGGTCAGGACACATGCCTGGGTTGCTGACTCGATCATCAATTGGGGGAGGGGAGGGGAGGGGAGAGGTGGGAGGGGGAGAACAGGAAGGCAGGAGATAGCCGATTGGTGATATTTCTCTCTTACTCTCTCTTATGCCATTTCCTTAGTCACAGCATATATTTTTTTTTTTTTTTAAGAGAGAGGAGAAGAGAGACGATGGGGAGATGGGGAGATGGGGAGGGGGGAGGGGGAGAGAGAGAGAAAGAGAGAGGGAAAGAAAGAGACCCATATCCTCTATATCCCCTACTGGGCAAGCAGGGCAAGTGCCCTGGTCAGGAATTGAACTGCGGACCTTTCAGTGCATGGGACAATGCTTACCCAACTGAGCAACACCAGCCAGGGCAGTTACAGTAAGTTTTAAAAAGTACATCAGGTGACCCTAGCTGGTCTGGCTCAGTGGATAGAGTGTTGGCCTGAGAACTGATGGGTCCCAGGTCCGATTCCAGTCAAGGGCACATGCCTGGGTTGTGGGCTCAATCCCCAGAAGGAAGCATGCAGGAGGCAACCGATCCATGATCCTCTTTCATCATTAATGTTTCTATCTCTCTCTCCCTCTCCCTTCCTCTTTGGAATCAATAAAAATATATTTTTTAAGTTCATCAGTGGACATAAGTAGGCAAAATAAATAAGTAAAAGCCACTGGTAATCTTCATTACAACTTTAAAAACCATCAAAATTAAAACTACTGAAAAACCAGGGTCTTGATCTCTGTGTAAGGACGCACATTAGCATATTAAGGAGCTACGTACTCCCTCTTACTCCTGCATTTCCAAGGAGCCCTACCTACCTTAGTGTGTTCACCAGGTGAAGAAATCACAACTATTAACTTGTGTTAGTTACTAAATGCTTTAACATGGGTAGTCATTTCAACACAGGTAATATTAAGTATCTTTAATGATGAAAAAGTCTTCTTAAATATACATCCATTACTACCTAGTTTAGACGGGTCACACTTTTTCCCCATGGAGCTATCAAGAACCACCAAAATCATGAATATGAACAACTAAAAAAAAAAAAGTGCTAAAGCAAACACACAGAAGGAAAGAGCTTGGGTAGCAGAAAAGGGGGAGAAAGTAAAAACCCGAGGCCAAAAAAAGCAAGAAAAGCTGGCAGCTGGCCACAGCATAGTTTCCAAGAGCCCATCAGCACTCACCCTGCAATGAACAGGAGGCACATGGAAATGTCCTGCAGCGGTAAACACTGAGTTCACCACGACCTCGCTCTCTCTGCTCGGGTTGTAAGCATAGAGGATCTTGGCTGCAGGGTGTCCCAGGAACCTAGGAGGGGAACAGAGTGGGGAAATCACACATGAACAATACATTGTGTGCTTGTAGCTATCCATCCATCCGTATATATACTTGAGACCAAAAAAGCTGTTGATGTTCATTACAAAGTTAAAAGCAACAATTATCAAACCCTGTTGTTAATGAAACAGTTCATCCACAATGGGGAAAAAAGCACAAACAACACCCCCCCCCAAAAAAAACACAAAAAAACACAAAACTTTTTTTTACAAGACTTATGCCAACCCATTGTAGCACCCCACTGATTTTTGGGTGATAAGTATTCAACCCATCCAGGCTTTAAACATGCTTGCAGAAAAGCACACGGTGGGAACCAGGCACGACGTGTCTGGCTGGAACTCTAACTTAAATGGACATATGCTGAAATAAGAAACTGTACTCATAGAAAAACCCAAATTTTTTAGGGTTTGTTTCCTGAGTCATAAATTTAAAGAGGCTTTTCAGGAGGATGAGTTTCAACGGGCAAAGAGACATAGTAAGTCTTATAAAAACTTAATTGTTGCCACAGACTATTCTTCTAAGAAAAAAATGAAAACCCTGCAACGCCTTCCAGCAGTGGCTTTTACCCAGTTAAAGTATCATGAGTCGTTCAGAACAGCCTGATAAAAGTCTGGCTCCTCCCTCCACCAGCATGAACACAGGGGACGTTTATACGCAACTTCAAAACTTCCTATGAGCCACGGAGAAAGGATCTCTGCTCTATGGCAAATACCCTCGCTGCTGAAGACCTTTCTTTTGGCTTTCCCACCTTCAAAGCTGGCGCTGACTAAGGAACTTTCTGGCCCACCTACCTGGAACTACCTGCAATGTTCCCTCTAAGCATTCACCTCTGGTTCCACTGCCAATGCCAAATGTGCTCTAGTTAAATTAGCTGCAGTAGGAGAGAGCCTGCCAAAATTTCACTGAAATCATTTCTCCGTTTTTATACCCTCAGTGACAAGACCCAGATATACAGTTTTCATTAGTAAGGCCCACAAATAAAACTATATTCTGAAACCAGCAAAAAAAACCTCATCTCCAATATGCTTGTGCTTTTTGAAAAATGAAGCATATGTCATTTTGCTTATACACAATGGGATCCCCAAAATATTATAGTATCACCATCAAATTCTTGGGATTTTTCTTCTAGCTTTTCCTCCTACTTTTAATCACAGATCTTAATTGAAGATTTCATACATCCAATGTGTATTTTTTAAAGTAAGTCCTGCCCTGGCCAATGTGCCTTGGTGGTTAGAGTGTCGGCCCAAGGACTGAAGGGTTTCAGGTTCAACTTTCGGTCAAGGCGACGTACCTGGGTTGCAGGCTCAATCCCCAGCTCAGCATGTGAGAGGCAACCAATCGATGTGTCTGTCTCACATCGATGTTTCTCTCTCTCTATCCCCCACCCCACATCCACCCTCTCCAAAAATCATTGGGGAAAAAAATATCCCCAGGTGAGGATTAACAATAAATAAAATCAGTCCTTTACAGCCAGTTACAAGTAAAATACACATCAGTGTGATTAAAACCTTGAATTTTCAATGTCGTTAATAATACAACTGAAATTGTTTATACTACCATAAGCATAAAGCGTCACCTCAGAAAGCCTTACCTCAAAAGTACTGGTTTCACATTTGCCTTTTCTCTCAATTGAATTAAATAAATAAGGACTTCCATGGTTTATGGTTTAGGTAAACAGTAAGAATCAATCAGCAAAGTTATTCCTGCTGATCCTCAAAGGCTCATATCCCAGTCACACAATTGGAACACAAGATTTTTTGTTTCAAAGGACACAAATGTCTCCCAGAGGACGAGATTAAGAAAACACGGCTGTAAAACTGCAATGCTCCTGGGCCACCAGCCTTCCCCAGGCCTGGCGGAGCACGCTGCTGAGACCTAGTGAGCACTGTGCTATTTTTACTCTATTTCTTAAATTCTATTTTTAAAAGTGTGATGAGGGTAAGAGTTTCCTTCGCTGGTGACAACGGGGAGATGCCCTGTTAATTTAATACTGCAAAAGAACGATTAAAATCTCTTATGAATGATTAGCACTTTAAACCTCAGGACCAACAGGATATTAACCCTTAAACCCTAAGAAGTAGGCAGGGGACAACTGAAAAACATAATCCTGATCAGGCATTCTAGAGGGAAATCAACGCTATGAAAAGGGATGGGGCTTGCCCAAGGTCAATGTCAAAATAAACAACAGACAAAGCTGAACTAGGGCAGGGAAGAAATCAGGAGAACTATGGCTAAAGTTTTACTCTAATACCTATAAATTATGCCATTTATCAGAAGTTAGGTAAAATGACTAATTTTTAAAGGTTCTAATTTAAACTTGTTTGTTCTTACTGAGATTTTAAAAACTTCCATAAAACCTATTTATTCTCATTATCATATCCTAGATAAATCTCACTTATAAGTAAAATAGCTTAGGAATCAGATTTATTCTGTCACTCAGTGGGAAAACACCGAATTGCTCCTCTGCAACAAATGTATGAACACATTTTAATGCATGGTCAAATAGAGATATTGGAAAGTAACACACACACACACACACACACACACACACACACACACAACACACACCTGCATACATACGATAATACCTATCCTTCCAGGATTGATTAGAATGACAAGAGACGTGACTGTGCTTTGAGAATTATAAAACTACAACATAAATGTAAGTAAATCACCCAAAGGTGACTCAAGTCTAAAAATTAGCAACCTTTTTCAATCAAAGAATTTAAGCATTTTTTAAAATATGCTTTCAGCCATCAGGACCAGCAATTGATGTATACAGATAATTAATAAGCATGGCTAATATGTTCATGCATCCATGTGCACTGATTACAGGACTTTTATGTTACTGAAGAGTAAATATATTATACACAGTCAGCATCCTATACCTGGGGCAGTTTACCTACTCTCACTGCACTTATTACTATCCATCTTATTCTATCTACCAAACTGTACTAGACACTCTTTAAAGTATTATAGGTCCTCCATTAAAACTTTTTACAGTAAAGACTTTCCATAAAAGCACTGTGCTCTCTCAGAATTTGAAATCAGTGAGGTTTTATTATAGATTTAGCTCCTAATAAAGTTTCTTGACCTGAGAGTAAAAAATTCATAAACGAAAAAGCAGGCACCTAGAGTCTTACAAAGTTAGCAATCTCCCTCCATCCTTTTATCTCTTCTTCCTTTTATGGAATCTCCTTTAAAAGCTCCACAGGGCATTTTACATTGAAAATCCATTCTCCCTCACTGTAGCTCCCTTCTCTTTGACCAGAAGGTAATAGAAAGATACCCAGATGAATAGAGGAGGACACGCCAGGAGACCCTCACTAACTCACCCCAGATGCTCTTTTAACACCGCAGTTATTTCGTTCACATAAAACTGAAGTGAGGTTCCAGGTTGCTAAAGCAAGCAGAGCTTTTCCATCTGAAACACTCTTTTACTTCCACCCTGGAAACGCGAGAAATCTGAAATTCTATCGGCTCAATGCAGCAATATTCTGCATCCAGGGAGCCGAACACTTTTAAGTTTCAAACTTTGTCACAGCTAACAGGAGTCCTTAAATTCACTCCTCTCCTACAGGCTCCGCCCTTCTCTTCCTTAATTTCATGGAGTTCACAGATTAGTCCCTCAACTGACACTCGTCACATTCCCTTCACCTCAAGGTTCTTAACAGGAGGCACTGTCAGTAATGACAGCTTCTGTGCTGTCCTCCCCACTTCACTCGTCTCCAAAGTCTTAATCGTAATAACGAATGTCTGTATAGTGCACATTTGAAACCTGAAGCACAGAGAGTAAGGAAAACAAGTCAGCAAATGAATCTAATTAAATAAATTCAGAAGCCATCAACAATTGGAGTTTTTCATTATAAAATAGCCTGATTTATTTTAGAAAAGCAAGAACTTAATATTGACTTCCCACTAAATTCCTATCACTACAAATTATTGTAAGTACATTTGTTGAAAACTAAAGAAAGGGCTGAACAATTCTTATACTCTCCTTTGCACACATATAAATATTCCCTTTAACAATTCCCAGGATTGATTTCCCTTGATTTTCCAAACATATTTTTAAAGTACTTAGCATCATACACATATAAAGTATCCTGAGAGAAAATAATGCAAATTAAGTTCTTAAAAATTATAAAGAAAAGATACTTACTGAATTCCAAAATCTAGAACGGTTGGCTGGAAATGTAAGCCTTTTCCACTAATTAGTTTGTCTGAGAAGCTAAAAAAAAAAAAAAAAAAAAAAGAATATGGAGATTAATTTTGTTGTAGGAAATTTGAATGCTAAGATAAGAAGATATTCTTAGGTCATTGGCTCTTATGAGATACAATTTACGTCTCCTGTAGATGAGTCTGAACTAGATTTTAAATGCTAAAATTAATATATTTCTACAGCTGCAAAAATCTAAGATACTCTAAGATTATGGTTACTATAACTTTATATCTATTGTACAAGTTCTGTAAGTATTCAGAAAAAAATAGGAATAGATTTCATTTTCAATAAGGCTTCATTTCTGGATGAATTTAGATAACGTGATTATTTTCATAAACCCAAATTCAAGAAATGACATTCAAAAGTGGATTTGGGTTGGGGGCTGCAGAGGGAGGAAGCTTTGGCCCTTAAAATTATTAGATTACTTATAACAAGGAAAGGATGGGGCATATAGCCAGGGTGTTCCTGAAGGCTGCAACTATCACCAGATCTGTATTTTTAAGGAAAACCACCACATAAAAATCCTCCATGGCAAGTCACATTTTCAATAGTTATTAAACATTATCACGACTTAATTTTCCTTCAGAATCAAAAGTCACAAATTAATATACCAAAAAGCATATAAAGAAAACACATAAAAAGCATACTTAATCTATAAGCATACTTAAGTACATAAAATACAAAATGTATATAATATATAAAGGCAAAATATTTGTATATATGTATACATATATGTGTGTATGAATGTATGTTCATATGTGTTCAACATTTTATTAATTAGTTTTATTATCATACTTTATTATCTATACGAGAGGCCCAGTGCACAAAATTCATGCACTCATGGGGTCCCTCAGCCTAGCCTGCACCCTCTCCTAGTCTGGGAGCCCTCAGGGGATATCTAAGCCAGCTGTATGACATCCTTAGCGCCGCTGTGGAGGTGGGAGAGGCTCCTACCTCCGCTGCTGCGCTCACCAGCCATAACTTTGGCTTGGAGCTGAGCAGCACTCCCCCTGTGAGAGTGCATTGACCACCAGAGGGCAGCTCCTGTGTTGAGCATCTGCCCTCTGGTGGTCAGTGCTCATCATAGCAACCGGTTGTTCTGCTGCTCTTCGATATGCGTATTAGCCTTTATTATATAGGATTCTTGAAGGTATTTACATGCATTGTATCTGAATGGCAGAAGAACTGTTTAATGGTGTGCTATTGTACATCACTTCTCAACTTCACACCCAGTGACATGATGTTAGTAGCTTGAAATCAACCATGGTGGCAATATTTACAACACACCACAGAGAAATTTGCAAACACTCTGAAGAAAGCTAATTCTTAAACATTAAACAACACACAACTGGGGAAAAAACAAAAAAAAACACACAAAAAAAACACACCAAACATCCATCAAAAGGTTGAATAAACCCTGACACTCAATATAGTACAACACAACTATGAAAGGAAATGGGGCCATTTTTAACAACTATCACAGTGATCTTCAGAGCATACAGGCAAGTAAAAAAAATCAAGTAGAAGAACAGAATGTATAATATCCTAGCTTTTATTTTTAAAATGAGGAAGGACACAATATATGTACATTTTAAAAATAATGTAACCCCAAAATATTTAACTGAAGAAGCTCCTAAGGGCAACCTGTACAACTGTTTTTCAAAGGCTCAAGCAAGCTTTCCGAAAGACAATCTTTCTATTCTCTCCTCCCACCAAGCAGCCCTCCACTCAGCATCACTCTGAGGCTGGTCCAGGGGTGGACATCTGAGTTTCCCACCTGTCAGCCAACGGAAGCTTTGTGACCTTTCCGCATGTCCTCCCATTTTCCTTGAAGATGCAAACAACGTTAAGAGACCAGAGAAACACTTCCAAAATCCTCACCTCACAGTAAGAATCCCGGCTGCAATCTGTTCTTCCTCCCTCCAATTTTCTGCCTCCATCTATGCTTCCCTTATTCCATCCATCCTCTCTCCTAAGACTCCCCTGTCTGTTATCTTCTATTTGTATCTTCTTTATCCCATCTACAGCATCTGCCACATTAACACTGAATGTGACACCTCAAGTCTCCATCCGCCTAACTCCTTGCTAACCTCTCCCTCGTGTTGAGCTTCCAGAGAGAAGAAGTACTATTTACTGGGTCCCCCCCCAAACTCCAAGAGGCCAGGACGGACACACCCAGGAGCCTCCGGAAATGCTTTTGAAGAGTCACAGGAGGCCACCGATGTAAACAGGTGCCAACAGCAGACACACCACGAACACCCCACTTCCAACCAAGCTGGCCAGGGCTCAGCCTTCCAGAAGAAAAAGAAAACAGACAACTTCACATGTCAACAATCATCTTAGAAAAGTCACGCTACTGTAGAAGTAATAATGAATGACAGTCTCCATCCTGCCGTGTGCCCCGAAAGTGGATGTTTCATCAGATTTCATGCACAATGGGGAACGTTTGTAAGGTTAAATTAATTTATCCAAGATCACACAGCCAAAATTCCAAAGCAGACATGTCCAGGTCACAGCCATGAGCCTGGTACAGCATTCAGGTCTACCCAAGGTCATGTGACCTGCAGAAACCCAGGCAGTCTCTCTTGGGCTTCAGAGTCCAGACAAATGTGGGTTCCAGGTCCAAGCCCATCACTTTCCCGTCGCGAGTGGGTCAGTGGCTTAATTACTCTATCCCTTTATCTGTCAAGCGGAGATGACAACCGTAGCTATACCTTGCAATCGTCCTCAGTGTAAAATGAGATAAAGATGCCTTTGCTTCGTGACTGGCACACAATTAAAAGCAGTAAATACTGGATCGTGTTATGAAGAGGATGATTCTCATCTAACAAGAAAAGCAGTGAGAACAGGTGGAGAGGCCCATTGAGCCTGGAGTCAGAGCTAGCTCTGGATTTAGAAGTCCCAAATGGGGTAGTAGTATTCGCTCTGAATAGAACAAATGAATACAGACCTGGGCTCTTAGCCATTATTCTAAAGACACCCACTTTTGGCAAAGAGCTGAGCCTTCCCTCGGCAGCAGGACATTATGTGCAAGGAAGCCCACGTCTATATATTTATTTACTTTTAATATTTTTTTTATTAATTTCAGAGAGGAGGGAAAGGGAGAGAAAGATAGAAACATCAATGATGAAAGAGAATCATTGATTGGCTGTCTCCTGCACAGCCCACACTGGGGATCAAGCCCGCAACCCAGGCATGTGCCCTTGACCAGAATCGAACCCAAGACCCTTGAGCATGCAGGCCAAAGTTCTATCCACTGAGCCAAACCAGCTAGGGCAGCCCACATGTTATTTGGAAAGAATATCTTTGCCTTAAATCACCTAACATTTTTTTCTTCAATCTCCTTCTCTCTTCTTATATTAAAAATAAATAAATAAATAAAAATAAAAATAAAAAAGCCACCTTTTTTCTCTGCATATAAAATAAACACAGTTCAAAAATGTGGCTAGGAAAAGAGGAAGGAATGTCACTGGAAATGAGAAGCCCTTGGTTCAGGTCCCAGCTAGATTATGAGCTTCCATGTGACACAGTTCTCTTTGGCAAATTGAAAGAGCTGGACCAGGTGACTCTGAGATCCTTGGGAAAGTGTTGGGATGCCCAGACTCCTTATTCCCAGGAAAATCCATTTTGTGCTGATATCAGACACACACCCTTTAGAAAAATTCAGATTCAGTAACTGAGATCTGAGAACGGATTAACTCTATAACCAACTGTTCTGGCCATGCACAAATGTTATGTGACTGAAACTCATCCTTTCAAATGCAATGCTCTACCTCTTCTGAATGAGCAAAGAAAGGGCCCAGCAGTTCTCGGCAATTTAGTGAGTAAGGCTCGGATGCACAGGGGTCTGGGGCCAGCTTACGGAAGACTCTCCCCCTTCAAGGTTATAATCCAGGAAGCTGGACAAAGCTTGGCCAAGCCAGACAAGCAAAAGTGAAAGAGCAAGAGCATTCAAAGAGAAAAGGAGAAACTTAACTTAAAAAAAAAAGGTTGGGGGGGGGGGGGGGTCAGGCATGGTATTGATGGGCCTCAGTGAACATCTAGCATGAATGGAAACTGAATGGAGGCCACTTTTGGCACAGCTAACAGCAGGAGGAGACAGGGGGGCGGGGGCGGAGGATGCGGAGGGTTGGGAAAGCACCATCTGAGCACAGAAAACACACCGGAAAGCTAGCCTGTTGTTGGCTCTGAGCAGTAGGGTGCAGAGCAAACAGCAAGGAGGTGAGTGTGAGCAGTGAGGTGAGAAAAGGAGAGAGTAGCTATGAGGGAGGCTCTGAGGCAGCAAGGCAGCTAAACAAATGGCTTCCCTGGGCCAGAAGGTGGCCAGTGGAAAAGTCAGGCGCTCGCTGCAACCTGCCATGAAAGTCTGCACCATGGCTCTGCGCTGGACCCTCCCCCTCAAGGTAGTGCTGCACTGTTTCAGAGGAGGGGCTGCAGAAGCTGCTCCGACAGGTCCAACAGAACTTCTAAGAGGAAGGTGAAGTGACCACCTACAGGGAGGGTGGAAGGCTCTGGTGTTCCATATTCTTGAATGGGCAGGCTTTCCTCCAGCACCGACAGCTACTGCCTTTCAAATGCAAACTCTTTCAATACCTGGAGAGAGCAGCAAGTGCTTCAACACATTTTTTTTTTTTTTAAGGTTATGACAAGGGCTTGAGCCACAGGATGAGGGTAAAATGGTGGTGTGAACCAGAGGAAAGGGCTGACACCCATTTCACAAACACTCAGGAAGGTAGTGAAGTCAGTAGATCACGCAAAACTAAGGCTATTGTCCAGACCAGGGGTGGGGGACGCCAGGACAGTGAACCATATCAGGCCCGAGAAATCGGTTGGTCTGGCCCTGCCAAGACAGTAGGAGTGAGTCCATTCAATGTTTGGCCAAATACAGCAGGTTAACTTTTAAGTTGATAATTCTGTACGGCCCTGGAATAATATTATAATTATCCAAATGGCCCTTGGGGGGGAAAAAAAAGGTTCCCCACGGCTGGTCTAGACTTAAGGTTTTCAAG